TTTTGTTTAATTTAGTGACAGTAAAGTAAATGTTCTGAAACTGAAAGCTTATTTTTTCTGTTTGATTTCTTTTGTATTCTTTGTGACATATTGACTTTTTGTGCGTATTTTGCTTTGCTGAACAGTTTACCTGAAATCTTTCGCTGCTTTTGAATTCTTTTTGAACATTGTGCAAGACATCATTCGGCTGAAAAATCAAAACAAACCCATCAGGGAGATAGCAAAAACATTAGATGTGACCAAATCAACTATTTTATACATTCATAAAAAGAAGGAATGCACTGGTGAGCTCAGTAACACTAAAAGGCCTTGAAGATCATGGAAAACAACTGGTGGAAAACAGGACACTTCTTTCCCCAGTGAAAAACATTCTTCACTGCAGTTGGCCAGATCAAGAACGCCCTCCAGCTATTTAGACATTAACGGCTGTGTGTTGATTTTTCAGAAGACAGTAAATCTATACTGCTATACAAGCTGTCCACTGACTACTTTAAGTTATATCCAAGTTTCATTTCTATAGTGTTGTCCCATGAAAAGATATAATAAAATATTTGCAGAAATGTTAAGGGTATACTCACTTTTGTGAGATACTGTAGTATTAAAGTCAACAGTCAAGAGAAGACTAAAGTAAGAAGACCAGAGTAAATTTAGAAGATTTACCACTACATGTAAAGTACCTGTAAGCCTAAAAAAACAGGAAGAGTTAGAACCAGATTAGAGTTTGCCAAAAAAACATCAAAAAGCCTGCACTGTTCTGACACAAGACAAAGATTAACTTGTACCAGAATTATGGGAACATAAGAATATGGAGAAGAGAGGAAACTGCTTGTGATTCCAAGCACACTACCTCATCTGTCAAGCATGGTGGAGGTAGTGTTATAGTGTCGGCATGTTTGGCTGCCAATGGAACTGTATTTACTGATGATATGCCTGCTGACAAAAGCAGCAGGATGAAATGGGCTATATTAGCTGTTCACACTCAGCCAAATGCCAGGGACTCCAAGTGTACTGCAAAAGGATCCCGAGACTTTTTTTTTTAATTAAAGCAAAAAAGTGGAATGTTCTGCAATGACAATCATTCTGCAAATCGATCACCTGACCTAATAAAAGCATGCATTTCACTTACTGGAGGCAAAACTGGAGGTAAAAGACCCCAAGAACAATCAGGAACTGAAGACAGCTTCATTAAAGGTCTGGCAGAGCATCACCAGGGAAAGAAACCCTGCATCTGTTGATGTCTATGGGTTCCAGAGTTCAGGCAGTCATTGACTGCAAAGAATAATATGCAACCAGGTATTAACAATGACAATTTCATTTATGATTTATGTTAGTTTGTCCAATTACTTTTGACGCTCCTAAAATAGTGGACTATGAGAATGTACTCCCTTAACAGCACTGTTTTAGTTCTGTAAACAGTTCCTTAGAATCAGGGTGCTTTCCAGACTCACTTAAAACTGCTGCTGTGGGACCTTTTCTAAAGAAACACAACTTGTACTCTGCCATCATGAGCAAATACAGACCAACTTTTAATCATAGAGAAAGTGGTGCACAATCAGCTAAAGGTTTCCCTCCTGCATAACAAAGCATATAAAAAACTTTAGTCAGGTTTTAGGTCAGGCCACAGTACAGAAACAGCCTTGGTAAAAGTACACACTTAAAAATGATGGTTCTTCAAGGGTTCTTTAATAAAAAAAATGGTTCTATATAGAACCATTGTCATCCCACTACTCTCACGTGTTCACTCAAGTTTGCTGACGGTGGAGCGGAGGGGCGCCGACATCTCAGGGAGCCCTCATGTCTCTGTTACCTTTCTGGTTTCTCCCTTTTAGTTAGGCTGTAATAACTAGACCTGCCAGAGTCTCTGCTGCCCTGATAATACTGTAATCTGTGATCAGGCACTCTTTACAGAACTGACTCTCTGTGTGTTTTCCTTTCTTTGCGGAGTTGAACAGCTGCCCATCCTGTGCGTCTGATGCTGTTGCTTCTTCAGCCTTGATCGGGTGCCACTGCTCGCCAGCCTTCTGGACCATTTCAGCCTTCTGGACTACTTTGACCACCACTGAGGTTCACTCTGTACAACGCTGTGCAAACCTCACCTTCATGAACTGACCCTCCTGATGATGCTGCTGCTGCGTAAACTAACACTAATCTAATTGACCATTGCTCCACCTGTTTTTCCCCATTTTGTATTCTAATATTTTATACTAATGCTGTTTGCTATCCGGTGTTGACCAGAGGAGGAGGGGTTCCCCTTTTGAGTCTTGGTTCCTCTCAAGGTTCCTTCCTCTTGCTCTTAGGGAGTTTTTCCTTGCCACTGTCGACGCTCATGGGGGCTCGGACCTGGATTTTTCTGTAAAACTGCTTTGTGACAACACCTGTTGTAAAAAGCACTATATAAACAAACTTTGACTTGACTTGTCTAGAACCATGAACATTCAAAAACCCCTTTCCATGCTTCAGTGGTTCTCTGTATGGTGAAAGTGTTCTTCAGACTGATGGAGAATGTGCTGTAGATGTTTTTTTTGAAAAGAGTTCTATATAGCACCAAAATCACTCCTGCTTTAGGAAGAAACTTCATTTGTGCCAGTTATTATGGTACCCCCTAACTGCACCAATGATGCCAGTTTTCCATTAGTCCAAGACTACAACTGTAAATTGTTAATGTCCCGTTTCAATAGCTGTTGCAATGAACTACACACCAACATTAGTCAGTTAAAATAGAAATGAGTAAATGGAAGACTTACAAAGATCTCTCAACATAGACAGACTCCATTAGAATTAGAATTCAATCACACAAGAAAAGGGAAAATGCTATTAATAGTAGATATTGCAGAAATGTTCTACTGTGTGTTTTGTTATTATCTTGTTTTTAGTATGTGCGAGTCCTTGTAAAGACAGCAAGCCTATTCCAAGCAGATGTTGTACTGTCTTTACTTCAAAATATATAGATAGCCATAGATTTGTTTAGAGTAAATTAATTTAATGGGAATAGTCACACTGTGTTCATCATAATGCAATTTAAATCCCAATTCCTCAACCTGTAGATGGACAAAACGCCCTTAATGAGAAGCAGCAGCTCGACTGAAGGACAGTCAGATGAAGATTTTTGCGAGTTCAAATAAACAATTGAACTGAATGTTTGCTCATTAAGCCTTGACTTCTGGTAAATCTGAGCCTAATAAAAATTGATTGATATGTGCTTGTTGTTAATGGATGTATAACATTTAAGTAGATTTGTTTCTAATTCAAACTAAAATTATGTATCTTCTGTGTGCCAGCTTCACTAAATAGTCAAATATTATGACACATTTTCTGCCTACAACTCTAAAATTCAAGGGGCCATTTAAAAAACAAAATCTCCTGGGGACCATACCCTGAGATCCCAGTGCCCCAGTGAAAGATTAGTACCCCGTCCATAAATCTGTAGTCATGCCCCTGGACGCAGCTAAGGATGTCTGAAATGAATTTGTTACATGGATCAGATGGGGTTGGTTAGTGATGGATTGTATTGTCTCTTTAGCAATACCATCTTATCCTCTTTTGAAGTCCCTACCCTTCCAAAACTGCTAGACAGCAACTGTTTAATTTTATAGGGGTTTGGCTCTGTGCCCTTGTAAATGAATTCAGTATGCAGTAAATTCCTGTCTGTTCTCGATTTGCAAGCCTACGACAGATGAAGAATTAACTGCACTGCAACATGGAAATCATTACATTAAGTGATGCCTCCTTGATTCCTCGCTCAACTTTTAAAGTAAAATCCAAATATAATATTACAAATTGATCAGTACTCTAACTTTGCTGCCATATTAATTTACTGTATAGTCATTGTTAGACATAAAAACTTTTTCATGATTTTTTTTGAGAAAACATTTGAGTTTCCTTCATATTTAAAACAATAATATTTTCTTTCAAGCTGATATAATTACTATATTGAAAGAAAAACAATGAAAAACTAATCCTTACTTAAATTCTTAAAAAGGTTTTATTTAGCTAGAATTTTACTTTTGCTAACTGCTGCATGTACCATACTGAGGTGACAGAACTGTGTCAGTTTATTTTGTTGTCTTGTTTTCAGGTTCCCAAATAAAAATTTTGCTAAATGTCTACTTTTTGGGTTTTTGTTATGTGAGTTTATACAGTTGCCTTCAAAAGAATGAAGATCTCCAGGTCACATTACATGTTTTGCTGATTTTGTAGGTGAAAATAAGTTCACAACTTCTAAATATGGCAAATTTTGAAAAATCTTTTGGAGCACAATTTCTATTTAGTTGCTGAATTTAGCAGATTGGAAAAATAAAACTTACGCACAGGCCACATTTTATATTTTGTATGTTAAGTTCAGCAAATAAACAGTAATGCACATGTGCAGAAGAAGTGTGTATTGGAATTTATAAAAATCAATCAATTATTGTTTACTACTGTGTAACAAGAGGTTATAAGGCAAATTTATCTGCAAGCTCTGTTTATTACAGCAAAAAGTCTTAAAAAGCCACAAAATATCTTATTTGACACATGAACATATTTGCTCACATTAAAAATAAGTATTACAATAACATAGCAATTCATACTTCTGTATTATTGTGTGGTGTGTATCACAGAATGTGGATAAATGTCTACAATAAGTTGTCACTCATTATGGGCATATTATTTCATTTTTATTGAACAGGAATTCATTACAAGCTGAAGAACTACAACTGATTACAGTCCTCATCCCAAACCTCAGAGAGCCCAGCACAATTGTTAATACAGATAACGATTAATTCATAATGTAATTAACTCATTAATTTCTCAGTGTACCAACATAGATTAATTATATGATCTGATAAGCAAAGTAATTAAAAGCATTTATATGAACATACAGCACCAGCTATAAAAGGTGTACATTTTTATTTTACTAATAGATAAATATTTGCATAATATATATATATATATATATATATATATTTGCATAATATATAATCCCATCTTTATCACTGTTACATGAAGTCACTCTACACATTCTATTTTTTCCCAGAAAAGACACCAGTCACTTTTTTAAAACCAGCTCTGAAATATCTCTGTACAGAATCAGCTGTGGTCTCTGCTTCAGGTTCAATCTTTCTCAACTCCTTCAGCTTCTGAACCCAGTTATGATCTCCTGCTTCCTCAGCTCGGGGGATCAAGAAGTCCAGAGACTCAACAATGAAAGCAGAGTCTGGTTTTAATGCAATCTCAGACAGCACCATGATGGTGGCACATGCCTGTTCTACTAGCTGGGCCTTTTCTATTTCAGTCTCACTCAGTTCTTCTTTCAGTCTGTCCTCAATTCTTTTCTTCTCCTTTTTCAGTTTTGTGTTGATTTCCAGGTTCTTTTTGACATCCTCAAATTTCTCTGAGTCTAGACTGATACCTGCTTTTGACTCATCAGTGTTCTCATATTGTTTTATCAGGTCTGTATACGTCATTATGATCTCTTCACTCTTTGGAACATATTTCTTGTTCTCTCTGATGTGTTTACTGTAGTGACACTTCCCTGAACACACAGTGCAGCGCCCATCTTTCATGACTTCACACCATGCAGGGTTGATGGCACACCAGCAGTCATACTCATGACAGTTCTCCTTACAGACGGAGCAACAGGTTGCCTTTCTGTCCCATCGTGAAGCGTTTCCAATGCTGACTTTCTCCTTGTGACTCCTGGTGACTTTAAAAGAAAAGTTTTCATTTCTCTGAATCTTCTCCTGGTTTTGTTTGAGGGCTTCCTGAGTCTGAGTCAGTTCTTCCCGTTTGCGCTCCTTTAACTCAATGCGTTCCTGCAGATTAGAAACACAGGCTTTAAGTCGAATGTTCTCTAAAAGAACTCTTTCCGTCTTTGCTAAGCTTTTTCTGTTCTCACATTCCAGGGATGCAATGAAATTCTTTAAACTATTCTCTGTTAGCTTCCAAGCATTCTGGAAAACTTCTTCATAGCCTGTGGTCCGTTGCTCAGCTTGACGATTGTTGAATAAGAAATAAACAGGATCAGTTCCATTTTTTTTTCTGCAAGGAATCTTCGCTTTCTTGATGGCATTAATGGCATTAGTGGGAGGTCCACCATCTGAGTGTGTTACAAAAGCCACAATGTTCTCCTCTATGTCTTTACCAAATAGAGACAGAATTGCATCAAAAATGTAATGCTGTCTGTCAGCGAGGCGATTTTCAGTTGCCTTCACTACCAGACACACTACATCTATTTCTTTCACTCCAGTGTCTTGTTTAAACAGTTTAAACAAGTTTTCAGCCACCTGCTCATCATATTCTGCTCCTCTGGTGTCTCCATAACCTGGAGTGTCAATTATGGTAACAGAGATTTGGTTCTCCTGGACAAAAACCTCATAGACTGTGACTTCAGTTGTTTGAGTTACTGTCTGATCTGCTGTTTCAGGTTCAGTTTGATTCACTCCTCCTTCTTCTGTGATCTCAAACCAAACATCATCATCAAACTTCACTCCTAGTGTGTAATTCACTATGCCGTTGATCTGAGTGGTTTTGCCTGTTCCAGTTTCTCCCACCAACAGTATGATTTTGTTTTGACTGTTGATGTCTCGCTGCCCAAATGTCCATTTTCTGACCTTGCCTTTTTCATCTAGATTACTTCTGGTTGTGAGTAGACGATACCGTGCTGGTTTTCCCTCACTGATTAACTGACTCTTCTGGATTAAATCTCTAACAGTCAAAGATGCCACTTGTGACCTGCTGAATCCAATAAACACACAAACATTACTATGAAAACTCCTGCTGACATTGTTCCTCAATTATTGCTTAAAGTGAAAAATCTTAAACATCCACCAGTACCATCCAACAAAATGTAACACTTGTCAGTGATTGTGATAGTCAGTCACCTGTGAGCCATAATGATGTGCTGCAGTCAGATACAAATGTCTCACAAGATTGTCACACAGCTTAATGACCTGTTAACAGAATTTAGAATGTGAAATGGATCAATATGTGGACAAAGCTAAATATTCTGAATAAGTGACAAGGAGTCACCCCAATCGATATGCAGTCTTTCAAGAACAACAAAACTAACAGTAATAATATATTATGATCATTTTTCCAAATGCATCATCAATATCTTAGTATTTTTTCAGAAAGAATGGTTTTACTTAAGTAACTTTTAATGCGCAGTACTGCTGCTATATAAGTGTAATTTTGATTACTTTGCACACAGTATCTATACTCAAATATACACTAATTAATAGTTTTTTTTTATTCAATAAAATTACTTGGCAGATTATCAGTAGAAATGCAGATGAGTTTAACATACCTGTGTTACAGTAATGCTCCTCTGTCAGGAATAAAGCGGTGATATTACAATTATTCTGTTAGTCTTAAATATAAGGAAATTAAAGAAACACAGACAAATTTATTGGCCAACTGACTAGAAGATCAACTAGTTGCGTGATATGTATTATGGGGGAGGTGGCCACATCAGCACTCCAGCCAATAAAATCTTCTGTGTAAGCTGTAGCTAGGCAAAAAGCCATATGCAAGGTTATGTATAAGCATTTTTGCATAATTATGTTCTGTACATACAGAAAATTCAGTTGAAAGTTTCAAGGTAAAAACTATATTAAACTACCTTTATGGCTAAAATAATAAGCAAACATACTTAAAATGTGTCTGTAATGGGACGGCCACCACAAGCTGGTTTTGAACCCCAGACTCAGAAAGGTAAAAGCTTATCAGGCGTGCCACCAGCCAGATGCAGACTTGGGCCCAGATGCAGAATGAAGAGCTGACTCGAGAAATAAACTCTAAAGAAACCCAAAAGAGACGTTTTAGTTCGTTTTTCCCCTTTTTTAAACTTACAGAAAACTCAAGACTTGGTTTGGAAACCAAGGGTACACCAGAGGTTAGATTAGAGAAGATACGTTTGTTGATTTGTTTGTTTGTTAGTTTGTTTGTTTACCCAAATTACCAGCTAGAAAGAAACACCAGTTCGCAGCCTGGCAGACCCAAAACTGAACACCCGCTGCATGGAGAGCTGTCCGTTAGTACAGCTCATACAGGTAACGTGTTTTCCAGTGATTGCCTTGGAGGCTGCTCTCTGCTTCTCTGGTGGCAGGGACAGGTCTTGCAGTGTGTTCTGCCTCTGGTTGACTGGCTGCTCTCAGTGTCCCTCTGACAGTGTCTGCATGTGCAGCTCCATCATGTAGCATCTTGGCTGACACAAGAGTCAAGATGCAGGATTGTGAGATTCTTTTTTAGCTTTACAAATTTTTCTCTTCCGTGGACAACTTTAAGATCTGAACTAAACTCAGTTTTTGACTCCAGGGTCCACTAAGGACTCCAGGGTCCACTAAGGTCTCTCACTAAGGTCAGATTGTGCAAATTCACTTGTTATGAGGCAACAAACTACCAATTGTTTATCTGTTCAGCCTCTTCATCTGCAGTTTGTTTTGCACAGTAGTGTCTGTACATGTTGCTATTGACCAGTTTGTTTCACACGGTCGCCAACCACATGTCCATCATGTGCCCAGTTACCAGTACTGTATGGGGAGGATCAGCATTTCAGACTCTGAACAGATTAGACACCTCAGTTTTGAACTTGAAATGGGGAGAAAAACACATCATTCTCTGTTCATTTGGTTTTGGACACTCTGTTATTATTATTGATTTTCCTTTTTAACAGACCAGAAATAGTAAATAAAATTAAAGCTCCTGTCAACATGCTGTCAAATGTTTAAAACGTTGTTGTAATAGTAAGATATGCCTTGGAATAAGTATTTACCAGTATACCAATATATAAACTAATACAATTTAACAGAGGTGTGGACTCGAGTCACAAATTTGATAAATTTGATGACTTGAGACTCGACAAAATCAAGAAAGACTAGCTCCCGCTTAGTGCTTAAACTCCAGTCTTACTGGGGAAATGTACCAGGCGAACTGACCATTTTCCTCATGGTAGTAAAACAAAAGAAACAGCTCTCTCTATTTCACAGATTTTAACAGATTCTGCAGGTAAACATGCGCAACATTCACTATGAAGCTGAAGATCAAGAAGAAGAAAAACCAGAACGACTGGTTTTGATGCTGCTACAGTAGCTGAAGCCTCAGATAGCAGTATTTGTTAACCAACATCTCTGAAGAACATCAGGCTGTTTTCATACCCAGTTCATTTTCTGAAGGCTCACCACAGTTTTTTTCTTTCATTTGGTTAAACTAAATTACACATGTTGGTGTTTGTTTATTGATCAGAAGTTTTGCAGGGATGTAAGCACTCCGTTACTCTCACATTCACCACCATGAAAACAGAAAAACAGAAAATAGAGATACTTATCATCTATGTGTATACAAGTTTACATTTATTTTATGGCCAAAAATTTTGTTCCATAATCCATAATCAAATGCATATCATTATTTTATTGCTTGTCTTTTGTTCTTTACAACAGCTCACAGTGAAGGAACAATATGGTCGTTTGTAAATAGTAACATGCTAAAGCAGCAGATCATGCAGACAGTACAGCAAAGATGTTTTTGGAAAAAAAATGTGCTTTCCTGTTGATTTTTTTTCGTGAATTAGCACGTTTTCACTGTTTAGTGCTGCCTGAATTGGGGTGGAGTCACATGTCTAAACCGAACTAAAGAAAAATTTGGACAGCTCAGCACCATCCAAGGCAGGTCTGACGCTTTATCCAGTTTAGGGAAAGAGGAGGTTTTTTACTCAAACTCAAAAAGTAGTACTTTAAAAAGTTGGGGGTCAAATACCCGCTCGGCCCTGAATACACAGATCGTACACGGGCCTGTAGTGTTCTTAGGTGAAGTTCTTTAATTTGTCCAGCAGGTGTGGCTAGAGTGCTCTCAGCATAATTACCCTCTGAGATAAAATAGAGAACAAGTGCACACAGCAGTAATGGTCCTTGCATGTTTCCGTTGAATTTTGTGAGAAATAAAGACAAGCAATGTGAGATAATCCCTCTCTGCCTCATCTGTAGCTTCCCCTAACGATATTATAGGACCCAACAGCAAAGTGAGAGTTTGCAATTCATTTAAGTCTCTCTGCATGTCTAGGCAATATGGCGAAGTCAGCTATGGGAGGCCGCAGCAGTGCTGGAGTGGGCACAGGGCGCTGAGTTACAACAGATAGCCTCAGTGAACTGAAGGTTGCTGCTAGTGAATCTCAGCCTCAGCCACGTTCGGGGACCTCCAATCTCCAAGAATCGCGAGCTGCTTCCATGGCAAGAGAGGCAATTCAAAGCAGGTCACTTGTGAGCAGTAGCGAACTGTGACTCTTAAACCTCAGTCCTCTGCGGTAACGTTACTCTCAGCTTCCATCACGAACCAACAAGCTTTGTTCGCTAGGTTTGTGTGCCCGGAGCCTGCGTGTCTTCACAGCGGCTGGAACTTGTCATAAAGTTAGCGATGACAAAGCCCACCCATTTACAGGGAATATATGACTGGTCAGTTTTACTGTCATTTGAAATTGGTCTCTCATTGAATTACTATTGCTTGGCCCTCTGTAGATTTATAGCTGGACCACCAATCACCATCATTCTTTCCAGCAACAGCAGATATGGCAAAATTCTGATAGGGGGAGACAAAGGGCTTCTTTAACCCTTCACTTTCCAGTACAAACTGAATAGGCAGGTTTAAAGAATTTATTTGCTTAGATTTTATTATATTTATTTAGATGTTGATTGTCAAAATATGATCAGTTCAAACTATAACTGCGCAATTTTAAAATATTATTTTTACGATAGCTTAGGCCCTCTGTGAGGGGATAGAGGGCCCTGCCGGTTCCCCTCTGCTTGTTAGCTAGCTAACTCACATTAACGGCCACCCTAGCTCAAGCACCCGCTTCTTGGTGAATAGGGTTCTCAGCTTAACGTAGTAACATTAATGTTGACATGACATTACATAAAATCATATTACACTAAGCAAAAGTCATTGGATTAAACATTTTTATAACATGTTTCAGCTACTTTAGGAAGAAACATGAGGTGCATCTGTGATATCTGAGTACAAGTCAGACACTTTAAACATGAAGACAAATGTGGACAAAGCATTAGAAGCAGCTATTATGCTGAAACCAGCTAATATATCAAGCAGACAAGTTACAAACATTTAACGTAATTGCTCAATTCTCATAAGGTAGCCCAACTGCATTGTTGCTTATTGTGTAAGCAATGGTGAGATTTTGTGTGCTAAGTAATATATAATCTTCGTCCTGGAAATTCACCAACCTCATTATCTCGTTTGCTGTTTCTAACAATATGCCCGCCATGCTGCCATAAGCTGCCTTCACTGAATTTTGCGGGTGGTTCCATCGTTTTAACCCTGCTTAGTGTTAATTAACATATACACCATGTTTCAAATTATTATGCAAGTGATATCTTGGTAGGATTTCAGTATAATGAGCATTTAGATTTTAGTTTTTCAAATGAAGTCCTTGTTTTATTATATCTTTTTGGATATATATCTGGTATCAATCTCACACAGGTTTGTTAATTAGTTTGCCAGGTGATCTTGATTAAAGGGAAACTTACTTAAAGATATTGCTCTGCATTGTTAAGCAAGTAAAAAAATAAAACACCGCTGTTTAGCAGCAAACAGGTATTTGAAACTGCTGGTGTCTCTTGAGTCTCAAGAACCTCTCAATGCAGGATCCTCCACTGGCTGGCAGTTGTACATAAAGCTGTATTTTGGCCTCCCCTAAGCAAAGCGCACAGAAAGTGGGCTCAGAAATA